AAAGCCAATAGGAAATATTTTTAGCTAAACCAAAAGATGAAGTACACCAGAATAAACAAGAGGTAACAAAGCAAGTTATATAAACTTACAGTAGTCTGTAGCTTTTGGCGCATGTGCCCATTATCATAAACCAAATGCGAAACCTGCTTTTGCAATCGGTCATTTTCTTCCATTAGCAGCTTGTTCATGGCGGTTAGTTTCCTGTTAACAGAGTGGAGACGAGAGGATTCTTTCCTCTGTTTCTCACGGCATCTATTAAAAAAATTCCAAGTCAAAATCGCCCGTAAAACATATAATTACTATAAATGGAGGCTGATAAAGATTTGCATAAGGCGTGAGTTTACATCTAGTCTAAGTGATAAGGACATTACAAAGAAAACATACGATCAACCCTTCGGTTTGTAAGAATATAAAGGCAATTCATTCGAAAGGATCAAATAAAATAACATAGTTAGCTGTCAACTTGAATATATTTTTGTCTGAATTAGAAATTGAAATTCCATGTCTAATATTAATGGAAAGCTGAGAGGAAATCTAACTCAGAATGTTTCTGCCACAGGATAATCAATGAACCAAGACTATAATATTATTCATTTGAATAAAAGAGTAAATCAATTCATTCTAATTTCTCAATAACCATTCTGCCAGCACATTTACACAATAGCTTACTGAAAAACTAATTAACAGGAAAAAAAAGACTATCCTCGAGAAAGAAAATAAACTGATTGATTGCTAACATACCAACACAAACAAGTCAAGAGCGCATAAAACCAATATAAGGGCACAACACAACCCACATTCTTCAGATATACCAATAATAAGACATATAATTAAAAAGGCAAAAATTGGGGAAAAAAAAACTGAACAAGAACTAAAAAAGAACCAAAGGGCACCCAGAAAAATCCTGTCTTGCAACCAAAAATGTACAAACAATCAAAAAGTCCCGAACTCAAAAATCATTCCAGCAGAAACTCTTTCACCATCTTAGAATCTCACAGAGAGAAGCATAAAAAGTTAAAAACTACATACACACACTAACCTTCGATTTTGAAACCAAACTTTGATTTGCTTAGGCTCAATGTTAGAAAGAATGGGACACTCCCTGATGAGCTGTTGCCTCCTCAAAGAAGTTGGCTTTGGGCACTCAGCATAAACCCTCTCAAGAGCCTCCACTTGCTCGGGCGTGTACCTCACGTACTTCCCAGCATCCATTTGCTGCTGCTTGCTGCTATTATTGCTTCCACTACTATTGCTCTCTCTGTGCAAACAAAGGGCCATTTAAATTCCAAAACAAATTATCAGGGATAAGAAAAAGAAAAGCCCACAAGAGAAAATAGTTTCTTGGAATAAAAAAGGTGGGGTTTTGATCGTTTGCATGAACAGGCAGGCTCTCTTCTCACAGAGAGCCTCCTCTCTCACTCATCAAGATAATTTTTTTTCTTCTTGTTGTTAAAGTGACAACAAAATGAGGTTTATTTTGCTTTTTTTCTTCTTTACAAAGAGAGGATTTTGAGAAGTGGGGTTTTTACAAGAAAATGAAAAAGTGAGGCTGGGCAAGAGCTGCCTCGGTCTTTATCCTACACGCGCATCTCGATAATAATATGCAGAGAAAGTGATATTTGAGGGAGAGAGAGAGAGAGAGAGAGAGAGAGAGAGCAAAA